AAACTTCCCTAAACCCCATAAACCCTAAACCCCTAAACCCTAAACCCATAAACCCCGCGTTTAGGTTCCAGACCACGATGGGGCGTCGCTGAGCTGCGGGCCGAGGTCGAGTTGCGAAGGCCCGGCCCTAGCCGATCCGCGATGTGCTCCGTTGCCTGTTCTGTGGGCGTGCTGTTATTTTATCTTCTACTATTATTATTATTGTTATTATCATTATTATTATTAATTATTGTTTGATTTTTTTGGGGGTGGGGTTAGGGTTTAGGGTTGTTTAGGGGTTAGGGGTTAGGGCTATTTAGGGCTTTCCCTCTCGCATGACAGAGTACAGTGCTCACATTTAGGGTTCACGGCTTGGTTTTGGGATAAATTATATTATATTCATAACAAGAAACCCCCAAAATAGTATCGGAACTTGTTTAAGCCCATATAGTAAACCCAGAACCCCAAGCCGTGGTGCCTGAGGGCTTAGGGCTCACGACCTTGAAGCAGTATGTAAAACTTTGGAGTACCTGCAGATCTCTGCAGGTTCGGCACAAGCTCCTGCAGGGTGGGGGGAGCCAGGACCTCAAACGGAAAAGCTAAAGGGTGCAAAAGTTTGGGGATGTTGAGGCGTCGGAATGAGCACTGAGCCTTTTGTGGTATATATGACACGACTCAACTACGTAAGGTATATAATGACTGTGAGGGGCTGGAAAGGGATAGTATACCTAAGTTTCCATTTGTAGTTCCTTGTCTGGGTTCCCTTATAGGACCCTAACTATAGAGGTGCCCTAACCAAGAAAGGAACTACAACGGAGACTATAGGTACGACCACTTCATCAGGGGGTCTCTCTGCTTCTGTGGCCCGGGCTCGTCAATTGCATTGTCGGCGGAGGCGGTACCGTCTCCACCTGTTCCCCGAATCTACCTTAACCTACAAGAACCTACTTTTTTGTAGGGTCCCTATAAATCCCATATTAGGGTTTATCATAAGAGCCTACAAAAAAGTAGGTTTTGGTAGGTTAAGGTAAGGTTAGAAGTATGGGCCCCTAATGTGGAGCCTTGGGCCTTTCTAGGGACCCTTAAGGGTACATATAGGGTATATAGTAGGTGTATAAGGATCCCAGGGTTAAGGGCCCATACTGCGGGCTCATGGGTTCAACCTTAGACCGAATTCCCTTTTCAGACGTTAGGGTTTAGGGGTGTTCGGGGTGTAGGATTCCGGGCTTTACCTTGCGGACCAAGGGGGCCCCATACCCCCACCACCCGTAATACGATCAAGCACTCTCACACGGTAATTGCGCCTTATAAACACATTTACGGTGCATGTCCTCCTTCAGACATTCAGCTCATATGCTACCTAACACATGCCGAACCCCTCTGACCAACGCGAGACATTCGAAGAACAAACTTGGACAGTAGGTCCAGGTCTTGGTTTCAACTACGCCCAGGAGTATGTATGCTAAATCCGGGCTCTCCATGCACCGATATGCGAAATCAAAGTGTCTGAAGTCTGATGTTAGGACCTTTCCCCAAATCCCATAGCTTCTGACATGCAATCCTCATCGAGGAAGTCTGGGCCATTAGACAGGGGGGCGGGTTTAGGATTCTCTAGACTCCAAGCATGAAGCTTCAGCCTTCAGCCGGGTTAGGGTTTAAGGTTTAGGGTTTACCTACACCCCAATCCGTACAAGAACGGCCAAAGCCCTGGACCCCAGACCCTGCAGAAACAAAGTACAGGTTTCTAAGACAATAGATGCTGGACCTTACGGTAAGGGCCTGAGTAGATAGAATAGGGTGTTGGCGTAGGTCTTACTTTTATAACTACAGTAAGGAGCATAGGGAAATGCTATGGCCGATTGTTCGAGCTTCCTTGTCCTCAACCCCAAACCTGAAACGGTTATGACGGTTTCGAGAAGCGCTGCGGGTGGGGCTTCGTTCGATTTCGTGGGGCATATTTGGGAGGTCTTTTGGGACTCTTTTGGGAATGCTTGCTATTTGCGAGACCAGTCTCGTCTCAGGCTACACTGCATCCGAGAGCCGCTCTACATATCTACCCGGCTTCACACCCTGGGTTTGAGTATAACATGCCTAACGTCTTTGTAGCGGCTAGGTAACTTCAGTTGACAAGCACAACGAATGGAGTGTGCCCCACATCCTGTCACACCCTGCAGAGGACGCATGTCCTAATAAAGCTGATGATGCCAGGCATGCCTTACATTCCAGGATATACCAATTCGAGACCACCCCAAAAGGAACCACAATGTTAGATTAATGTTAGATTGACTCGTAAGGCAAACCGACGTTAGGATTGACTCTGGGTCCGAACAACGCAGACAGAACCTTAGATGACAAAACCAGGGCGAACACTAGCCGTCGCTGGTTTGGAGCATGCCATTAAGTTTGCGTTCATGCTTGAGTTTAAGGCTTAGGGCTAGCGCGTACCTAGTTTAAGTAGGCATTCACGATTTATGGTAGCAGAATCTACACAACAATCCTATGCTGATGCTTATATAAGCCCCCTATGGTAAAGTTGTGTGGAAGGAGGAGGCTTTCGGTTTCAAGTTTCCTAAGCCCTAAACCCCAAACCCTAAACCCTAAGTTCGGATTTCCAGATGCAGCCTGGGGCGCCGGAGCTTGTCCCACGTGATGGCTGCAGCTCGGAGTACCTGAGAGATAACGGGTCCGGTGTAGGGTTTAGGATTTATAGAAATTGTATAGGGTTTGGGTCCGGGGTTTTGAGCGAAAGTTTTGACTGAAACGTTTTGAGCGAAAGATTTGTCTTTTAGCTTCTGACTTTGCATTTGAGCAAATTTGGGCTGGGCTAGACAGGCCGGGCTGCTGGGCAGGGCTGGGCTGGCTGGTCAGGCTGGTCTGGAAGGCCTGGGCTGGGCTGGGGCTGGGGCTGGGTAGCCTGCATGTTTTTTTTGAAGCAAAAAATGACCAAGTCGCGCAGGCAAGAGAGAGATATTTGGACCTGCCCTGCCTGCCCTGCTCTTCCACAATTGCAACGCTCTTCAGTTTACTTAAACTTTGGAAAGTTTTGTTTTATGGGGCTGGCTGGCTGGGCTGGGCAAGGCCTAGCAGGGCTGGGCTCTGGGCTGGCTTGGCTGGGCTAGGCTCTATTGCTGCATTCTGCTGCTGCTGGGTGGTGTTGGTGATTCTGCGAAGCAATACGGCCAAGCATTTCAGGCCACACAATTTCTATTTATCCTGCGCTTGAGGGTTTAGGGTTTAGGGTTTCGACTCTCACACTCGCACAAAGCCGGCAAGGCTCCACGCTGACTTCACACAGTTAAACTGGGGTTTAGGGTTTAGGGGTTTAGGGTTTAGGGTTTTTTTAGCAGGGTTTAGGGTTAGGGTTTAGGGTTTAGGCGTTTAGGTTTAGGGATTAGGGTGCTCCCTAAGACTAATTTCAGGTCCCGCGGCATACACCCTAAATCCAAATTCCTATAACCCCAAGACTTCAGTCGCAAGCCCTACACAGTCTATACCCATAAGCACCCTGAACCCGAACTTGTAAACGGCAAGCCCTAAAGCCTACACTCAAGTTGAGGATATATCACGATATACCATAGATCGTTCCTCACGGCATGTGTGTCGAGTTAAGGGCGTAGGGAAGCTTTGCATGGGGCATAGATGGCAGGGTGTGGAGTGGAGGTGCCTTTAGACCAAAGGGCACTGCTCAACCGTACACCCGAAACCTTACACTGTGGAGGCAACCCGGTGCCCTGCAGTCCATCTTGATCAAGTTTGCAGTCTTGCCAGACCCTCAACCCTAAACCCCTAAACGCGTTTTACACAGGCTTGATTGGAGCTCGCCCGGCAAAGCTCCCTAAACCCTAAAACCTAAACCCAAACCCCTATCCCCTAAGCCCTAAACCCTAACCCCTATCCCCTAAGCCCTAAACCCTAAACCCTCAGTTACGATTCCTTCTTCTTGGTCGCTCTGTTTCCGTATCGTGGAATCTGTCTGGATTCAGGTCAAGCCTAAAACCAAACCTATACAGAAATCGCAAAGCACAGCTTCGCTTCTGCTTGCCAGACCCTGAGCTCTGAGGATGTTATTATAATTCTGTAATTACACTAAGGAACCGTAAACTAACTAGTATTACTTATTCTTCAGGCTCTTATATTAGAGCCTTTAGTTTCAAAAGCTTCACCAGCTAGACCTTGATACAGAAGAAAGAAACAACTATGACATCATTGAGGCCCTCATATTCTGCAAGCCCCACGAACGAACCCACAATCGACAAAAGACAAACCACCACAAACAACAACGATGACAACCAACCTCTTGTACCTGGACTAGCTGCCTGGCTGTTATCTTACGGGTTTCGGGGCCGGTGTTTCAAACTTGGAGTGCAACAGGAATCCATTGTCAACACTGCGCGGAACCCCGTACACAGCAGCATATAATCCCCAAGTTACGGGTCACCACTCTTCAAACAGTATACAACTGGATCCACAGGGAGCAGCTCGGGTTCTGGCAGATGTGTACCGACGATTCTGGAGCTGGCGACAAGTCAGCGGGCGCCGAGAGCATCACTACCTAGGCTGCAGGGCCCTAAACCCTAATGGCATAAACCTTTTTGCATCCAGGCCTATTGCGACTGCCTGGCATAAACCCTAAAACCCTAAACCGGATTTCGTGGCAGGGGTTTACAGCGGAGGTTCGGGAACTTACACCTAGGGTTACTATTGGGGCCTTGATAATTCGAATAGGGTCTTGGGGCCCAGTATACTATCATTCTAATAAGGACCCCCCTCCAAAATCAAAGTATTGGTACGCACCCAGACCCCCAGGCGGATCTAGAAAGTAGATCCCTTAATGGGGGTTCCTATAAAGACCTTTTAGTAGTTCGCGACCCAAACTAGGGGATCTACTTTTCAGATCTCCCAAGCCTCCTAAGAGGCTACCGCCAAACAACCGTCAAGCTTCTCGTTCTAGCACTCATCGCAGAAAGAGAAAGGTATTGAGGGGGTTGATCAAAATCATGGGCCCTTTTGGGGTCTGTATTGTAGTATATTCCTTATAGTTCAGGGGACCGAAAGGGGCCGATAATTTTGATCAACCCCTAATATAAATATACAAGTCTAATTGCGTTAATGGCTTGGCAGCTCGGGTCTCGGAAGATCGGTGAAACTTCGGGAAGTTCGGCTTGCTTGCTGAGTGCAACGGTGCTTTACTGGAGCTCGTAATACGTGGGGGCGATGTTGGCTCTACTTAGGGTCCAATTTTGGGAGGAAGCTCGCATGCAAGATTGTGGATCCGCGCGGGGGGTCCTAAGTTCTGCGAAACTTCCATTTGGCCTTGGGGGGTTTTGTGACGTCTTGGCTAAACACAGGAGATGCAAATCCGCGAGGGAGGTTTGTGAGGTCCCTAAACCTTGAACTCTGAACCCTAAACCCTAAGGACATGCTGCTAACTACTAACTACCCTCGGATTGTTGTCTCCAGTAAATAGATACAGCTTTCAGGCTTCGAGGTTTCCTGGTCGTTTCAGCACCCACTCGGTGTAAACTTGCATTGTGTGCGGTATCCTGCCGGGGGGGGGGGGGGGGGGGCGATGACAACCGTCTCTGCATGGCTCCAGCCATGAGCTATGAGGGATGCGAACGGGCTTCATGTTGATTTAGGCACGGCTAGCGGGGCTTCGGGTCCTGCACCTGCACCACCGATGCTTTGAGGGCTCATGGGTTCCAGTGACTATGTATTGTTGGGATCTACCATGAGGTCGCAGATGGAAGCGAAACACCCCCAGAGTCACCCGCTTTTCGTGTGCCAAACAACACGAAAGGCTGAAGCGCATGTACTTCACTCGGTCCTTCAACAACGGGAGCTTTGGATTTCGGCCTAGGCCCCTTCAAACCCCTAAACCCCGTGGACAAAATGACTCTCACAACTGACGAGATGCAGCGGGCTTGGTGCAGCCTTTTGCAGGTTGGCGAGTGGCCTCGGCAACAAACCCAGCCTCCTAAACCCTCTATATCTTGAAGCTTGAGCCCTAAATCCTCTACCTCAAGCCTTCTACCCTGATCAGCCTTGATCGCCTCAACCATGCTTAGGCATGTAAGGACTTAGGGTTCAGGGCTTTGGGGCTAGGCGCACGTATACATACAATATATATATATATTTATGTATATACATGTATATATATATATATATATATATGTAAATACATGTGTGTACATATATATATATATAGTA